TCATACTGATATATATAAACAACTACTAAATAACACTTCAACATTAGCAGTATAGACAAAAAAGAAAAAAGTGGAGAAATTATTCTCTAATTGTAATATTGCTCTTGTTATTTCTTCTAAAATGTACATAGTACAGCTTTAATAGCAATGCAACAGTCTAATAATCAACTCACCAAATGTTAAAAATTGAAATTCTCCTTCAAGTAAGTAATGGCAACAAATAACCCAACTACCCAGCTCAGATTAAAAAGGACACCTTTGATCATTGCAAGCTAACTTGTAAAGCTAAGGTGATACACCATTAATATAGTTTACATTAAAATCATTGAACTAACTTAGACTGAAGAAATTGATTGTGTATGAAGTTACAAAAGTATATATTTCTAAAGGCTATGTGTAGTAGTTCCTATTAAAAATGTATAGAGACAGAAAAATTAGAATTTTCTCCCTGCATAAAATAATACAAATTATTTTTTCTTAAAATTCAAAGTATTCTTTTTTATAACAAGAATTTAAAGTCATTCTAAAATATGTGAAAAACAAATAGAAATAACAAAGTTTTAAACTTTCTATGGTAGAAAGATATATATACACATAAACTTGTTAATTAGAAACAAAAATTATATTCCAATAGTTAGTTTTCCTATAGCATAAATAACTTTACTCTAAAATATTATTTTTAAAACTACAGAAAAGTGTAAATACCTAGTTCAAGTTTATATTCCTAAGGTAAGAGAATTGAAATGTAGTAGATGTATTTATACTTCTTGTTTTATATACACATACACACATACCCTGTTATTTTCTGCCGCGTTAAAAATAAAGGATTACAGCTTTCCTATAATATTAGGAGAAGTACATTGTTCGGTGTGAGTTGTTTTATATTATTTTTGTGGAGTGTTTGTTTTGTTTTGTCTTTGTTTTTGTTCTGGGGTAATCATATTAAAAAGTCATTATTATGATTTAGCCAATGATAATATTGCTGATATTTGCCATTTGTTCTCATGCTGCTCGAAAGATGTACTATTAAAAATTGTACTAATTTAAAACAAACTCATTGGTTAGACATACCATTGGTGAGAAAGCAAAAAGCAATTTTTCATCTAGAAATATCTGAATATTTTTCAGATTCAGTAAAGAGTCTTTTTGTAGGCAGTTAAATCACAATGATTTTGCATTTTATAAAGAAAACATGAACATAGCACTGTGTAACAGAGAAGTCATAAATATGAGTAAAATTGGCCAAAGAAATGTGAAATAATTTAAATAACCAATTAAAACTAAACGCATCTAGGAAAACTAAAAACAAAAATGGGAACTAAATTTCAGAAATTGATAAAATTATCAAAAATTTAAGAATAAACTTCATTTTGTCTCCTTAGCATTTGTTTATACCTTCAAATTTTGCTGCACAAAACAAGTGCTATTGACATGACTCTTTATTTCTTTCCAAGTAAAAAAAGATCACAATTGTTATACTACAGCTACTTCTCCAACATGAGAATTTCACTAATCAAGTAAGTTTACAACTATTTCAAACTAACTGTAAGTGCAGCAAGTGTTCATTTCTGAACAGCTCTTATATTCTTGATTATTCAGCAGAGTAATATTTTCAAGAATAGTTCACCCTTATGCAGAAACTCGGGAGCTATTGACAATCTATGTACCACCACAGAAAGACAGTCTCCCTCTTGGTTCTAGCTGGAATTCTACTTCAAAGGGGGTCTGTCACAAGGTTTCTCCCCTATTCCCAGGCCCCTCTGGCTGAGCTGTATGACAACAGTAAATCCCAACTGCAGGAAAAGCTCTTTCTTCTGATATTAGTAGTTTAGTTTAGCTTCTTGCCAGGAGTTTTGTTTCTAAAGTTAACTAACATATCAGAGATTTTCAATAAATGTCAATTTTTGTTTTTTAAAAAAGGATGAACCTACTGAATCTTTTTATCTAGCAAATTTTTCTTTTTCTGCTATAGGCTGTCTTAGTAAGTTTTCAGTGTTGTGTGATATGTGAAACCACAAAAATCTGAACTATGGAAAATAGTCAAGGCACCAAAAGCCAAATCCATGCTGTCCCCTGTATGTAAATTAGTATTGTGCTTCAAGCCGGGAGCCAATCCTAGCAGAATACAATGTCAAGTGTTGTGAAGAGAGGAAACTGGAAAGGAGACTAGAGTAGGAGAGGGAGAATCATCTCTTTTCACTACTGTATTCTCTTTAAAAGTTTCTTTCTTTCCTTTCTGTCGGCTAAGTGCTAAGAGGAGGGCAGGGAATAAGAAGAAAGCATTCCTGAGAAATACATTTTCATGACATATAGTCAATAGTATTTAACTATCACTAACTATAAATTTCCATTCACAATTTGGGCAGAGAGTAATTGATGAAATGAGTTTGATGGAAATCTTCAACACAGTATCAAACTATTTTGTCATTAGATATACATGTATACGTTTGCCAGAGTCTATAATCAAACTCATCTGCACACATCCAAATAGCAACTACATTTTAAAGGCATGAAATTTCTAGGGTAAGACACAAATAACTGATAAAAGAAAATGTGGAAGATTTTAAGATTTTTTTTTCCTTTCAGAACATTTCATGTCCAGGAAAGAAATTCTACTTGGTCTATGATGTTCCTAAGCAGTCAGAAAGTGAATTTTGGCAGAAATTCTGTTTTGTTTTATATTTTCATTTTATAGTAAGAAACCTCCAGATCTGAGTGCACTGATAAACTGAACAAAATACAGTATAAGCACTTATAAAACTGCCACACTGAAGTTTCACAAATGTCACAAGATATAATGTATAACTTGAAAACAGAAAATTCATCTGAAAAAAAATATAACCACCTTTTCTGGCTTGGATAGCTCATCAACATGAAGTTTATGATAACTGCTTCATTTTTAAAATATGTCTAAGCTTGAAAAATATAATGGTTTGCAAGAAATTTTCATATTCACAGATATTATGACAACTATATTTACTTACCTTATCTTTGTTTAAAGTTTAAGATTACTTTCTGTTGTTTTTAAACTAATAAGTAGTACGGAATACAATTTAAAGTAAAACAAAGTTAAAAGCCCACATTGTAAAAGGATCATAGCATTTTAGTGCCCTCCCGGCTAAAGGCTTCTTTGTGTATCATTAGTTCAAGAAATATAAGTAGGGAGTTCCAGCATAAATGACCTAGCTCAAGTGTCTCAAGTTCAGGAATGACCTGTAAAAGTAGTATTAGGTCAGATTGTAGCAATACTAATCTTGTCAAGACAGTAACTGATGTCTGTAAACAACGGTTAGAGCCTGGCATTTTGTCCCACAGTATGTGTTTTAAAATATTAACCACTACCCTGGTTGTCATTTTCTTTCCATGAGTGACCATATGGTCTTTTTCTCCCTACAAAAGGCTTTGCAAAATTACACTGAAATGAACACAGTTGTTCGTTAAAATAATAAGACAAAACCACCAAGGACATTCACACCACAGGACTGAAACCAAGAAAAAGGTAATGCTGAACTACTCAGATCTTCCAGGAGTGTGCTGCCAGTTAAACTTCGGTGGTTCGTCTTTTGTTTTTTAGAAACAATAAAATTTTGCATAAGAAACACTTTTCTTTCTTCTCCAGTTTCCAGGAAAACTTTTAAAATGTATCTTTGTTTCCTTCTCATCTCCAAGTTTCCAGTTTTACTGATACCTGCACACTTCTTTGTCTTCTTGTTCAGCACTCACTGTAAGTTCGCAAAGTGTAAGTTCTTTGTTATGCAGGAACATTTGCATACCAAGAGACAACAATTTTTTAAAAATCAGCTTATGGGCTTGCATTTTTTCAAGACGAGCTGCTGTTTTAACCTGCTTTCTGCATCCACATCAATACTCCTTAAACAAGTTATTTTCCCAACACCACCAAAAAGATCCCTTACAAACAAGTAAACATACTTGAAATATCTCTCTCTCTCTCTCTCTCTCTCTCTCTCTCTCTCCCCCTCTCCCTCTCTCTTCCTCCCTCCCTTCTTCCCTCCCTTCCCCTCCCTCTCTTTCTTTCTCTTTCCCTCTCTGTCTCTCATATGAGGGTAGTGACAGGAGAATAAACCGTAAATCAGATTCTGGGGATGGGGACAAAGAAAAGATAGCAGTAATGAAGGTGCAAATTAAATATGAAACGTTTTTAGTAAATACACTTTGTCTTGTTCAGTTTCTACACTGATAGTAGGAACAGCATACTTACAAGTCAGCATCTCTGTAAGCCAGTATCTCTCTGTGCTGTCCCTCTTCTTTGGATTTGGATACTTTGAGCTAATATGGAAGTGTCCGTTAGGTTGCCTACAAAATGATGCTTTAGAGGATCTAACGATGCATAAATTAGAGAGCCCTACAATGGCAGAGGACGGTCATTGTACCTCTCCTCTTTATGTGCTCTTATGGTGGGACCCAAGAGCCTTTTTTTTTTTTTTAACACTTTAGATGATGGAGCCATTGAGGGGCTGGGAGTTAGAAAGGAGGTGAGCCCTGCAAAACATCCCCCTCCCAACTTAACAGCTGTTTGTCCTCCCCCAACCCTCGAAGTTATACTGAACTTTGCCACAAAGTCACTTTAGGAAAACTCCCAGTCTGCATGAAACAAGCGTGGGTCTTTCATTGGCCTCAGAGTTATTCTTTCTCGAGGGCTAAGGTAACCAGGATAGAAGCGCGAAGGATGGAGATAGAAAGAGGGGTAATCTTTACAAGAAACACCCAACTGGCCCTTTACCTTTTTTTGCCTCCGTTATGGGGAAGGGGGGTGAGAGAAAAAGATGTCAATGACCATTGTTTGCTCGTTGGGGATGTTGCTCCGCCCCCCGAGTCTGTCGTAAACCTGGCGCTGGACTAAAATAAACCCGAGATCCCGCAGCTCGGGGGCTCGCCGCGCCGCGGACAGCTCTCCACTGGCGCTGCCGCCGGGCCGAAGTGGCGGCGACAAGCGGCCGCCGCGTCCCGCCCGCGCCCGCCCCGGGCCCCCCTACCTGGCGGTCCGCCGAGCCATGTCGTTGAGCCCCAAGCACACGACGCCCTTCTCTGTGTCCGACATCCTGAGCCCCATCGAGGAGACCTACAAGAAGTTCGGCGGCGTCATGGACGGTGCGCCGCCTGGCCTGGGGGCGCCCCTGGGGGCCGCCGCCTACCGCGCGCCACCGACTGGCCCCTCCTCGCAGGCGGCGGCCGTGGCGGGCATGCAGCCGCCCCACGCCATGGCCGGACACAACGCAGCGGCGGCGGCAGCGGCAGCGGCGGCAGCGGCGGCGGCGGCCGCCACCTACCACATGCCTCCCGGCGTCTCGCAGTTCCCGCACAGCGCTATGGGCAGCTACTGCAACGGCGGCCTGGGCAACATGGGTGAGCTGCCCGCCTACACGGACGGCATGCGGGGCGGCGCGGCAGCCGCGGCCACCGGCTGGTACGGCGCCAACACGGACCCGCGCTACTCGTCAAGTGAGCGGGGCCAGAAGCGCGGGACTGAGGGCAGGCTGGCGGCGCGGGCTTTTCCCGCCACAGCCGGGGCGCGAGGGTGCTTGCGTTCTAGTCAGCGGCGCCCGAGGGCCGACGCGCGGGGGGTCCTGGGACGCGGCCTAGGGTTCGTGAGGGGTTCTGAGTCAAGGCTTGGGACGCGCGGGGCGGCCTGGGACGCGCGGGGTTTCTTGGGAGCCCCGTGGGGCGCGCGGGGGTCGCCGGGCCCCTGGGCGCGCGGAGGGAGTGGGGCGCGGGCCGCGGCGCTCGCGGAGTCCCGCGACCCAGTCGGGGCCCCCGTGCCGTCACTCAAAGCAAGCGGGGCGACGGAAGGAGCGGTTCTCGCAGGCCCGGGGCTCACCGGCCGTCCTTCTTGGGCCCCCTCCCCAGTCTCCAGGTTCATGGGACCGTCGGCGGGTGTGAACGTGGCCGGCATGGGTTCGCTGACCGGCATCGCAGACGCCGCCAAGTCGCTGGCGCCGCTGCACGCGGCCGCACCTCGAAGGAAGCGCCGAGTGCTCTTCTCGCAAGCACAGGTCTACGAGCTGGAGCGGCGCTTCAAGCAGCAGAAGTACCTGTCGGCGCCCGAGCGCGAGCACCTGGCCAGCATGATCCACCTGACGCCCACGCAGGTCAAGATCTGGTTCCAGAACCATCGCTACAAGATGAAAAGGCAGGCCAAGGACAAGGCGGCGCAGCAGCTGCAACAGGAGGGCGGCCTGGGTCCCCCACCTCCTCCGCCGCCGCCGTCGCCGCGCCGCGTGGCGGTGCCGGTGCTGGTGAAGGACGGCAAGCCGTGCCAGAACGGCGCGGGCACCCCGACGCCCGGCCAGGGCGGCCAGCAGCCGCAGGCCCCGACGCCCGCGCCGGAGCTCGAGGAGCTGTCGCCCAGCCCGCCCGCTCTGCATGGTCCTGGGGGCGGCTTAGCGGCCCTGGACGCGGCCACCGGGGACTATGGCGGAGGCGTGCTCGGCGCCAACCTGCTCTATGGCAGAACGTGGTGATGAGCCCTGGGGGTCTGCCTGCGACTCGCAGGATCCGCTAAGAAACTGCAAGAACGAATGGGGGAAATGTACAGAAGCTGACCCTTTAGTGCATGGAGATAAGAAGGAATGAGTCGCGGAGAGGATCAGGCTGCTCTGAACCTCTTTACTGGGGGTGGGAGAAGGCGACAGCCCCGGACCGAATAATGTGACACCACACTTTGAGGTGGTGATTTCCCTTCTTTCAGAAGTTCCTAAGTTATGCGAAGAACTGACGGAATCCACATTCACCACGTTCCTAACCAAAGCTCTCAGAGTTTTAGAAGTCGGAAACTTTGTTGGTGTTTGTATCTCTATAAATCAACCAGCTTTCACGATGAATCCTTGAAGTGGAATTTATTTTGGGAGATTAATTTGCAAAGCCCCTCCCCTAAGTGCAATTTCGTTAATGCTTGATTGAAAGTAAATTGAATTGTAGCCCAAAGCGGATCATATACACAGCAACATGATTGCTGAGGAATAACTGCCATTTGGGTAAAATAGAGAAATGGAATAAAAAGAATCGAAATACTAATTATATGGATCGTTACCGTTTTTACATTTAAATGCTGATTTTAGAATATTTTCATTATTAGGCAACCAAGAAACTGTATATTATCCTAGAAGAGGACAACCCCCACCTCCCCCCACCCCAGGAGGCAGCTCATCGTTTTTTAAGAAGGGTTATAAAATACTTTTTATATAGAATCTGGCCTTTCCAAATCAGCTGACAAACATACCCTTTCCTTCTATCAACATAGTATTTATTCTCTTTAAATTACCTAAATTTGGACTCCTTGACAAAGTACTAGAACAAACAGGTAAAATTAACAATATTACCACCAATCTATTTCAAATCATGTCAAAAAGAATAAGGAGATTTATTGAATTATTATCAAAATATACAGAAAAAGTAAGATAATTATACGTTTCCATCATATTTAGAACTTAGTAGTTGCACCAATTTTATTGGTGTTTTATTGTATAAATAAATGTATTTATTCTTTAATATGCCAATTTATATTTTCAGTATTTCAAATGGATATTTAAATATAACTTTTAAAGGCCTTAAGTCCTTTTTCTAAAAGTCAGGAGGTCATTTCTTTTTAAGGGTTGTAGGGAATTTTTCCCCCCTTAGGGAGAGTGTGGCAGCACAGCTCTCTGACTAATTATTAGAATAGTCATATTGGAGGAAATAGAGCCGACTGAATAGCGTGAGCTTATAGGACTAATGGAAGTTAAAGAAATAATATGAGCAAAATATGCTTTCGAATAATCAAAACAGATGGTCACCAGAGATACCAAACCTCTTCTGCGTTTGAGTTTTTAGAACAAATTTGAGTGTGAAACACTCAATTTCTTCTCATGGTTTAAACGTTTTTCTGCAAAGTCCAAAGTGACTGCATAGGAAGGTACATAGAAGTCAAATTTGTACTTTCTCCAAAATTTATTTTATAAAGTAAATCCTCTTTTTTTTTAAAAAAAAATTAATTCCAGTTCTTCTCAAGGCAAGAAAAGGGAGGGGGCATGGAGTAAAGAGATTGTCTTATCAAATCACTGTTGTGCATTTTTGAAGAGCAAGATTTAATTCTAAAGGCATTTAATATAATCTCAGTAGACAAAACAGTCTAAAACTGCTGTGATAAACATACAGAAAAATCTCCCAGAGTGAGTTTTTACATTACAAGTAGATTGATTTTTAAAAATTGGTGTTAATTTTGCTGGTAAAGCTATTACTGATGTGCTGTAGTTCAAAGCGTTTTGTTTTCATCTGTTTGACTTCACTACCACCAGAAATGTTTTTAAAACTCACATCACACCATTTCCAATAATCTTTAAAACAGACGAACACTTACAAAAACAACAATAGCTTTGTGGTCGGTAGGCATGCAGTGATACCCTTAAGGAAAATAAACCTGTAAGTTCTACACACACACACACACACACACACACACACACACACACACAGAGAGAGAGAGAGAGAGAGAGAGAGAGAGAGAGAGAGAGAGAGAGAGCGCTTATTTCCAGACAAAGAATCCCTTTAAATTAAATGAACTCTATTGGAAATAATGTCACCAGAAGCAAACAATTTTTTCCATTCACCATTTTCTGAAAGTATATGTACTGTAGCCATATCTTTTTCCATTCAGCATTTCTTAAGTAGAAAAAAAAAATCCAAGCTTGAGGTAATTGCTGCAGAGGGCTTAACATTCTACACCCAGAGACTTACTGAGCACGTCCTGATGTTAGGAAAAGGTTCGATTCCTGAAACATTAAAAGAAATGTTTTTTACTATAGAATTCCACTTTCTGATTAATGCAAAGCAAAAGCCTTTTCCTTCTTTCTGCAGTTGGTGCTTCACAGATCCTTTATGAAAATACAAACGGCTAGACTAGGTGAAACTCATTAACTGAAGAGGAGGATAAGTGTCTCCACAACCAAGAGGGAAAACTGGAGCAGGGGCTGGGTGGAACAAAGCCCTCTCAAAGTTTAGCAGAGGCCATAGCAAAACCGGGTTTCAGAAATGCTAACTCTGCAGATGTGACATTTTGCAGTACATTTTTGTGGTCTAACATCTTTTTTAGTGGAGGCATAGAAACCAAAATGCAGAACCAAAGTTGCAAGGAGTAACAGCAGGGATTGCAGGTACTTTGGTGTAATCTTCATTAGGATGTAAATTAAGCATGAGAGTGTGTGCAAATTTGAAGGACACAAGAAGGATGTTTTATATATGCAAGGGTAAGAATGTAACCCAGTTGTCCTATTTAAGGCTTGGCTTAGAACTACACTCTAAAGGTCAGAACAAGTAGTTAATCAACACAGATGTGTTCAAACTCCATTCTGCTAGTAGCTGTTTACTTTCAATTTAAAGCAAATCAGAGACTCAATTCTGTTCACTAAATACAAATATCTTCCATAGGCTTGCTTTGTTAACTGCACTGAACAGTAATGGTTCTAAAAATGAATTTTGGACCATAATTATATTAAAAAGCATATAGATTTGATTTTTAGATATGAACTAGTGCATATGAGAAAGTAATGCATTATGTGGTAGCAATATAAATTCCAGTTCAGATACAAAGCACAGATAATATTCCCCTGCCATTTAATAACACAATATCATGGTGGACCTCTGTATGTTAATTATTTAAATTTAGTTTTTCTGAAACGCTGTGATTGCCATCCTCAGGCCCAGTGAGACAGAGAACCGATACATTTGTAAAACATAAGAAGCTATTTTACTGCTAGTGAGAACTGGTGAATATCTATCTGGGGAAACTTCAGAGATACCCAGACTGGGGAACCATTTGCATAAGTCGCCTAGTGCCCCTTTATCCAGTGAGTATGGAGAGTTCTTTGTGATCTCCAGGTTTTCTAAATTTAATGGTGATGGAAGTTTCTGACATTAGGGCTTTAGTTTTGTTCAGTTTTGCTTTAGATAATTTATCTGAAATGGAGTGAAACTTTTTTTTTTAAATCTGTAACCTCAGTAATTGTTTAGGTAACTTCTAATTTAAAAATTAACTGTTAAGCCATATAAACTTAAAGTACAAAATTTTGCAGTAGTGACATTTTATACATACAAATTAAGGCATGTTATCTTTTTACTCCAATTCTGGAAGTAGGGTGTAGAAAAACAGCCACAGAACATCTGTTGGAATTAATGCTGAATGGAGGAAGCATATTTCAAGAATGGGCCACTTGTTACTATGTTAGTTCCTTGATCTTTTTTCTGGCTAGAAATAGAGGACACAGTAAATCACCAGGAATACAGCACCTTGGTTTTTTGATCCATTCAAAGTGGACAGAAGTCTTGAAAATCAAGGCAGAGTTGCAAAGCCACCCTGTGGCCTGTAATTGTGGATAGATTGACTATGGAGAATATCTAGAGTTTAGATTTCTAGGCACAGCTAAATTGGTTACTCAAAGACTTTGAATTTTAAACAGAAATCTGGAGCGGGTAGTGGGGTGGGGCCAGACGTTTCTGATTTTCTTACAGGTTCAGCATGTGCACTTGCCTGGAGAACTGTAAATATGCAGACTGCAGTACTGCATCCAGGGAGTGGAGAAATGATGCTACAGTGCCCCAAGATTCAGAGTCTGAGATTCCACGCACTCAACCTACTCTATATTGTTTCTGGTACCCTGTGAAGCTTCTGAATCCTAGGCTTAGGGGAGACACTAGGCCAATTGTCTCATCTTCCAGATGCTACAGGGAGGCCAATTAGGACAGACACAACCTTGACTATGAGGGACAGCTCACCTTCAATAACTCTGCCAGCCCTCTACTCCCAGGCAGCTCAGCCTCAGCTGCAAAGTCCTTGTGCATCCCAAACTTTCATCCTAACCAAATCCCTCAGCATCTGACCTCCATCTAGAAAGTGGTAGGATTTCCACCCAACACCCAGCTCTGTTATGATATCCCAGGTCTTTGCAAGTAAATTAACCTACAGGTCATTACATTCTATTTGCCTTTGAAAAGCTTAATGGCAGTTTAATAACCGTCTGCAGAAGGTTTTGTACTTTCACATCACCCCTTTGGGGCTCTAGAGCTAAGGAGGTTGCTTTTTCCTTTTTCCTTACTAGGTCCTCTTAGCATATGTTTCCAGGTACTGACTTAAAACAATTTAGTGAAAAACCCTGAAAAAAAGGTGCTCCAAAGGTAGCATAATGGAATACAAGTAGAAAAACTAGCCTGTTGCCTGCAACACTAAAACTTGAGGGAACATTTACATCTGTAAATATCATTGAAAGCTTTAAACAGCACTTTACTGAACTAACAGCAATTTTCTCTTCTAACAGTAAGAGATGGGAGAAGAGGAGGATCTAAGGGTCGAGGAACTAGGCAGATGTTCCCTGGACACAATCTCCTGTTTCACAAGAGAGAACCTGCTATCAGCTAACTTCTCTTCAGGACCCTTCTGCCAAAACCAAAATTTAAAAACTAAACCAAAACCAGGGGATTGGGGAAATAAAAGGCA